TATATATATATTTATATAGAGTATATAATGATAAAATCAGAGAGACAATGGTAATAGTAATAACTGATATCGATTATTATGGAGCGGATAAAGAGGAAGGAAATACATGGAAGGAGAAAAAAAGAACGAGAACGAGAATGAAAGGAAAAGAGAGAAAGGCAAATGAGGTTGTATGCATGCGAGTGAAAATGAGAGAGAGATTTAAGCTAGATGATTGTCTATAGTATACACGAAGGCATACGTTAGGTAACCTCGATGCTATTTAAACAGACTTAATTAATGTATTGCAAATGAATTAATAAAGTGTAAGAGAAGCGTGTATCTGTATAGTGCGACTTCTTTTTTCTCTCTTTCGGCAACTATAATAAATTTTGGGTAAACAGTGAAGATTTCCTGACACCTAAGTCCAAGTATACAAGCGGATACTAATATATTGCAATATTTTTATAAAATTACTGAAGTTATAGAATTGTTTACTGCTTTCTTTGTAGGCATATTTTTGTACTGATTTGGACTACACTTTTTACGAAAATTTTGTGGGACATCATATAACTTTTCTAATTTTTAATATTAATATCATGTATATTATATAGTTTATACTTTGAATTTTAAACTCAGATATTAAGAAAAAATCTATTTTGAAAAATATATTGAAATTAAAATTAAAAAGCGAGTATGAAAATTTATTTGCTTATTCCATTTTAACCGATCTTATTTAATTTTATCTTTATATAATATTTAATTTCATATCAATAAATTATTACAGGCACAAATATATAATCTCATATCAATACATTGTGACATTATAAGAGACTTCTTGTTATTGCTGTGAGGTTCATTCAGTCACACGATTAATCTCGTCGATCACTAGTGCTAGATTAGTATACTAGTATAAAGGTATGTATATAATATATATATTTGCACAAAATACATCAATAATACATGATTTTTGCAGTAAAGTAATAATTAAAAGCTCGATTCATTTATATAATGACAAAATAAAGTTAATTATCCATTAAAGTAATAAAGACTTGAATGATGTTCCGTGTGTAATAAAAATTAATAAAAATAAAATATAAAATGGCAATAGGAACCAGCGCCGTAAGTCTGGCGCAAATAAAGTACAATTACTTAATGACCATATAGTGGATATTTATTGATTTAGGGTCAATTAAAAAATAATTAAAGAATTAAACAATTAAAAAATGGAAGCGAACGTTTCGGCCCTTCTTTTGGCTATCATCAGCGCACGGACTAATAATAGAATTAAAAATAAACAGAAACGTAGACCGAATCGCAAGTACCTAGTCGGTTAGACACAAATTGTCAAAAATCATACGGCAAAGATCTCTCACGTCGTCATGATAAATATCCCAAAGCATCGCTGCTGTTGATAGGATGAACAACTGCTCGATTACTGGGTCGAAAGTTAAAAATCCAATCACTGTACGAGCATGATGGTACGTTACATTTTCAATGATGCCTGCAAGTAATCGGAGCAGTTTTGACGGATAATGATATGAGAGAACGCGTAGATGAACAATCTTTAAAGTTAACTTACACGTAAGATAACGTTTAGAGCTCATTGCACTAGATGATTAATAGATGATATAATTAAACTTGACACCTTGGCTTTCGACAGCACAATGTTATAATTAGTTGAACTCACAAAGGTGAGGCGGAGCAAAATATTGTTGTCAAAAGGATAAAACGACACATCGCAAACGATCTTTTCGAAGGTTATCTAGTACGGTCAAAATATACATATAGAATAATATAAATGAAAATAATAAAAATAAAATGACAAAATACAAATAATATAAATAATACAAATAATAAACAAGTACTATTGGAATAAATTAGACCTTATTAATTGTCAAATCGGATAAATTCGGAAAATAAATAAATTAGATGTGTCAAATGATATAAAATAAATAATAAAATAATATAAGTTACAATAAAATGATTAATATACCAAGTTAAGATGAATCGAATTCCTAGTCACTAAAGGTAAAAACAGCGCAAACAATTGTTGTCATAAAGAGTCATAGACGGTAAATATCATATATAAAATACAATGCAACTGTATGTGTATGCAAACATCAAGAATGCTGTGATTAACCTTTAGGAAGTTTTTCGATCGCAGTAACATAAGTAAGTCTCATGTAAGCATTCTGTATCCATCTGCAAATTCAGGCTACTCTTTTGTCTTTTTATGTATAGCATCTCGGAAATGAGGCGTTTATTAAAATGAGATTTCTTATCCAAGACCTCAACTTCATTCCATCTAAACTCGTGATTATAAGATAATATATAATCTGTTATGACCGAATGACTGGATGTATTTCTTCATATATGATTACGATGTTCGTTAATCCTTGTTTCTAATTTTCTACTTGTTTGGCCCACGTGTGAGGCATCACAATCATTACAGTTAATTTTATAAACTACGTTACTAGTAGATGGTTTCGGTAAACAGTCTTTATACACCTTAATAAACTGATGCAGTTTATTGAGGCTGAAATACGATGGTCTGACGTCGAGGTCTTTAACAATATTTTTGAATTGTTCGGATATGGACGGAACAAACAGGATTGTAAAACATTTGAAATTTTTATCTTCCTTAATTTCATTAGAAGGATCTTGTTTAATAGTTCTTCAGTTATTTATTAAAAATTTGAAGCGGTCATGTAGAGTCTAAAATATAAAATTAAGAGGATAATTATTATCCAAGAGAATGTTGATGATGAAAATGAGATTTTTTTGGTGGAATCGAGGGTGCGACAATAGGAAAACTTTATCGGTCAATCCAACAATTGTGCCTCGTTTTTGGCAAATAAGGTGTTGAGATAAAAAGTTGAGATACCTGAGAACGTAGGCTTATGGAATCAGTCGAATATTAAGCGGTTGTCACTTAAAATCATTGTGACATCTAAAAAATTAAGTTTATTGCCCGTCCCGATCTCAATTGTAAATTGCAATCTCGGATGGAAAGAATTAAAAACATTCAGAGTGTACTCAAGAAGTGGAACAGCCAAGGCAACATCATCCACATATCTAACATAGAAAAGCGGAGTGAAGGTCAAAGCAGCCGACGCCTTTTCCTCCAAATCCTGTAATACGATATTTGCTATGATCGGAGACAATGAGGAGCCCATGGGAGTACCATAGGTCTGTTGATAGATCACTATGTTGAATGTGAAAAACATAGAGTTAAGTACGAATTTAACAGCTGAAATGAACTCAGAAAGCGGTAATGAGCATTTAATCGATATGAAATCCCATCTTTTGCAAACACTGTCGATGGCAAGTTCAACCGGAATATTAGTGAAAAGAGAAACAACGTCTAATGAAACCAATGTGAAATTATCATTGACTACGTTTACACGTCACCCCTAATCGGGTTTAATAACATTCGTAGTTCGAAGGCTGGCCAATCACAGTCATTCCATTCTTCAGAGGAATAGCTGTGATTGGTCATTTGTATAAAGAGCTGTTCAAGTACGATACAATTATTCGATAAATATGCATAAAAGGTTATACCTCACCGATTTTATCGCCACTTAAATATGTTGTAGAGGAGGTTCTTCTGAGTTATTCCCCGCAAGAAAAAAGTGGGGGAAAGCATTCGTTTAGAAGATATAATAAATTAAAATTTCACAATTTTAATGCTTGTGTCCACGCATATACTTTACAACGCGAAGCAATGTTCCACATGGGTTTACAATTTTCCACGCAAAACGAGGTTCAACCCAAACCTATGTGTTTAGTTTTTTGGTAGTGGAACCCCTTCGTACGGAGGGTGAGCGGAACCACTGCATCCACGCATACACTTTCCCATCTACATAGCAATTGGGGTGGACCTCGCTTCGCGTTGTAAAGTATATGCGTGGACGCAGTAGGTTTCGCCCCCCTCCCCCTACGGGGGGCTCCACTTCCGGAAGATATAACCTAACCCAAACCTATTTCTGATTTAAAACTAAAATTTGGTTAGGATTACGTTATATAACCCAAATTGTAGCTTTGGGGTGAAATTTTTTCGGGGTGGGGGGTGCAGGGGGAGAGGCCCCGCCCCTCCTCCGTCCACGCGTTAAAGTCGTAAGCCTTTTTCAATAAAAAAATAACAGATTATTACAGCATACACAAACTTTAATGTTAAACTTTAATTTGTCATATCTTCTAAACGAATGCTTTCCCCCACTTTTTTCTTGCGGCGAATTACTCAGAAGAATCTCCCCTACAACATATTTAAGTGGCGATAAAATCGATGAGGAGTAATCTTTTATGCATATTTACCATAAGTTTTTTTGTCGGGTCTTTAGTGATAATAGTATAAGTATCGGTGTTTGATAGTAGATTTACTATTTTATAAATATAATTATCCTTATCTAGCGCCACTGTAACATTTCCCTTATCTGCTCTAGTGAGGATTAAGTTCGGATTGTTTTTAAAAAATTTTTTTATATTCAA